AAGAGACTCGCTTGCAGTTTTACCACCTCGGTCTCATCTCTGGGACCTATATATTCAGCTGACCTATATATTCATCCACTGCTTTTCTCCCAAACCGAGCCTCCTTCAGGTGCGAAGGGGTCGCAAAGGAGGAAAAAGAAAAAAAGCTTCCCAAAAGCGGAAGGGAGAAGGAAGGGAAGGGGGGGGGGGGGGGGGGAAGCGTCGTGCAGCACGCCTCCCATCAAGCTGTCTTGACAACAATTACTAAAGTTTTTAATTAGCCTCTTGTTATAATTCATTTTATTAATTTTCCAAATCTCAGCCCATGAATTATTAACGGCGGCCCCGTAATTGTGTTTGCAGCGGCGCACGTGATGGCGGCGGCCCCGCCGCGCCGCGCCTCTCCCGGCGCGGTCCCCTCCGCGCCCCGGCTGCGAGAGCGGCCCGCGCAGCGCCGGGCCCCGCTATTTTATCAACTCTTAAACAACATAATTACCGATAATCAGACCCTCGTCTGGCAGGTGGAAACAGGTTCCCAAGCGGATTAGAATTCTGCTGCTGATCTTTTAAAAATCAATTAGGCTCGCCTCCGCTTTGGAATCAGCAGGTAAATATAATAAAGCTTAAAAAAAAAAAAAAGCGCCGGCTGAAAAGCGAGATATAAATAACTGGAGGGATTTAAAATCGTTTGGGAAATGCCAGAATAACACAGGGCACCACCGGCGCTATCAAGCTTTATGCGCTCGAGTCCGTCAGAGTTAAAATAATTATCTTTCGACAAATCTATTTCTCTTCGGAGGAAAGGGGTAACACAGGGAGGCGGGGAGGGAGGCACATAAACCATAAAGTCAGTGCTGTAGGACACTTCATTCTCCTTCTGGGAAGCCTTTTTACTTGTTGAACCAGGACCGAATTAGTCTTAATATCACAGGAGAGTAAAAATCAATACCACCGTGGCAGTGGGTGTCTGTTACTCACTTATGATGGCCTAATCTAAGTTGAAAGCAAGCGGAGAGCAAGTGTTAGGCAGAAATTCCGGGAGCCAAACCGCGCCTGGCAGACTTAGGACTGGGAAATCGTGCTAGGAAACACTAGGAAAGCGGCGAGATACCTGGGTTGTGGAGAAAAGGCCCATTCAAGGGAGGACAGCAGCGAAAGGTTCGCCGGCAAGGGGCACAGGCTGGACCGCAGGAGTCGTCAGAGCCGCCGCCCGGCAGCGGCCTCGGGCCCTGGCACAGGGGGACTGGGGGGATTTCTGTATCTTTGTGGTCACAAATGGCTGCGTACTGTTGGGGAATAAATGAGAACACATGTTCTGCCTCTTCGTCTTTTATCTTACTTTTTTCCTCGGATGCAAAAGTTTTAATAGTCCTTAGGTAAAACCTTAAAGACTAACTCTTTCTTTCTTTCTTTCTTTCTTTCTTTCTTTCTTTCTTTCTTTCTTTCTTTCTTTCTTTCTTTCTTTCTTTCTTTCTTTCTTTCTTTCTTTCTTTCTTTCTCTCTTTCTCTCTTTCTCTCTTTCTCTCTTTCTTGGCATTTATTTAAAAGGCCTCACAAGAATTTTGTGGTTTTATGAGCTATTCAGATTCATCTGACAGAAAGCGGGACGTTTTGGTTTTGCACAGTTTCCTACCATCAAAAATAGGAAACTCTGCAAAGCTTTTATTTTCACCATTTGTTTTATTAACATACTTTTTTTTCTTTGTACTCGATAAGGATTGTACTTATTACAAAACAAACTCCTCAGCTTTTCAGTACATACATCAGTCATTACTGAATGATACAAATGTGGTATCGCTTTCAACATTTAGATCATTTGGGGCAGATGAAAAAGAAAACCCAACATTTGTAATTATTTTTATTTGTTCATTCCTGACTCTCCAAAAAAATGATATCCGGTAATACTTTTCTATAAAATAATATTTTTACAAATGCATTTATTAAAAATTCTGATGACATTTCAAGTTAATAACAACAGAAACAAGTCAATTTCCGGTGGACGAGATCTATGGGTTTTTTTAAAAATACCTTTAGTGCTTATTTTTTAACATCAACAGTTGTTTAAAATCACAGCTTTTTTAAACGTATTATTCTTTTCTGAACATCACGTGTCTTGGTTCACAGATTTACCGGCAAAATTAAAAAGATTTGGCTAAAATATGTCTACAGAAGAAATAATCCCAGCTATTAAGTAACTTTTTACATTTGGCATCTGATCTAGTCACAGGTCATCAGAAAATAGAAAGAGGTTCTTTGATCACTTGAAGCAGTAGGTGGCATCCTATACGTTCCTAATGAACAATTGCATTCACAACATAAGGAGAGATCAGTTTAGGATTTTCATATTTATTAACCCAAAATAAAAATAAAGTATCTTGTTACATAATTAAGTGCAATTAGGCCAGTCAGAACAACATATAAACCTGAAACCACCCAAGCTTTTCTTCTTTATACATATTTTGTAGGTGCATAATCCTTTCCAGCACACTGAAAAGAAATACTTCAGAAGTCCTTCTTAAAATTTTACTTTGATTTATATTCTGCAGTTATAGAATAAACTTCAAGAAACACACGCAGCTAATATATAGTTAATTTTATTCAGAGCACCGATTTTCACATAAGAGCTATCTCAAAGTAATGATTTCTGGATTTAGCAGAAAAATACATCTCTCACTATTTTCTTTTTGGTAGAATTAGTCTTATCGTCTAACGGCCATACCTTGAATTTACCAGCCGTGGAAATATTTTTATTTTTTTTAAATGCACCCAATAATGATAATAATAACTATTCTGTTTTTACGTTTGTTTTATTTGTAAGTATGCTGGGACACATCTCCCTGTTGTATTTTGGCGTACAGAAATATTTCTGATAGAAATTAAATAGAGTAAAGACACAACCAAGGAGAAAGCTCAGCAAACATACATGGACAGGTAGATTATTCAGTGAGACATTTCAGGATCCACACGTGATTGCAGTTTGTAACCTTTTTTGTTGTTGTTGTTGTTTTGTGCATTAAAGAAAATATTTACAATCGTCTTTCTTATCTTTTTTTTTTCTTTTTTTCCCCCTTCTTTTAAATCTAAATACAAGAACGTGACAAGAACGTTTGTGTTTTCGGTGAAAACAGGCAGTTAAACTGTGAAATTACACCATCCACAAAAGATTCTACCAGAAGCTAGTCTATTTAGTGCTCAGTTTCAAAATGCATAGAATGTTTGCGCTGCAAACAATGATACACAAAATAATAATAATAATAACAAAATAAATAGATAAATAAATAAATAAATAAATAATATTGAGACTTTATCACGGATCTTTCTATGCCTTTTTCTCCCTCTTTTCTTTTCCTTTTATTTTTTTCCTTTTTTATTTTTTTTTTCAGATCATGTCATGCATAATTGCAGTCTATTGATTGTTTTGATTTAAACGAAATGGTCTTTTCTTTTCAGAAATTCTTTTTTTATTTGAAACCCTCAGCAGTCTCTCGGCAAGAGACAGTCAGAGATGGCTTCTGCACATCACTCTCTTTTTTACCTAACAAGCCCTGATAATTTTGTTTGTTTTCAATCCGTGAGGCGTGTAACGCACCTTGACTACTATTAGCCATACCAGCATGGTTATTACAGAACAACATCATCGCTTCCAATCCAGGAGACTGTGATAGTGCAAATTGAACCCCACACACCCCTTCCAAAAGCCTTCCTCCACATAAGGTTTATGATACACAATAAACGACTTTTAAGCCCAAGTGGTTTTTTTGTCGTGTGTTTGCTCCCAACATGCACATCCCTCAGAAACAAACGTCATTTCAAACTCATCACCGGTGATTTCTTTTGCCTACCGGGTGCAATAACCTCCAGCCCTTGGAGGAAACCAAGGGAGGACCTTAGCCTAAATCCAGCAGATTTGGTGGGGATGCCGGGGGGCATACGGTTGGGAGCAGCGGGGAGGGAGGGAGGAGAAAGAACATAGTTAACCATGAGCCTTAATGAGTCTGAGCATAATCTTTTGGAGAGCATCCCCGCTCTGGCAGGTTTGGCATCTGCCTCCAGATGCATCTCTGCAGAGAGAGGGACCTGTCTTTGGACACAGCTGGAAACGCAAACCACGCGGGCGAGGGAGGAGAGACAAAGGGGTTGTGGAGTAACTTTTTTCCCCCTTGTTTTCCTTGAGCCAGCTGGATTATTGAGGCAACAACGGAAAGGAAAGGGACTGCTCCCTAGCCTCGGGGGGCCGCTGCCCCGCTCCCGGCCCTTGCCCCGCTCTCACCGCTCCCCCGGCACAGACAAGACCCATCGCCAAAGCCTCGCGCAAAAACCGCGTTCGAAGGAAAATAAAAAACAACAGGAAAAAACCAAAACAAAACAAAGGAAAAAATAAAGACCAAAACAAACAAACAAAAAACCCAAACCCAAGCCAACTAAAGAAAAAGTTCCCCCGCGCCAAACCACCTCTGTCCTCATTCATTACTAAGCCAGGGAAAAGAAAAAAATAAAAGCAGAAAGTAATGAAAAGAGACCCAAACCAAACGTAGCATCATCATCACCAACAGTTTCGCCTTCCGGGTTTGTTGGTCGGTTTTGTTTTCCTTCGGAAAGTTGTGACTTAGGTTTCTCGGTTTGTGGCTGTTGCTGTCACGGTATTTATTGGTGTGTGTCTGTGTGTGTTTACGCTGTAAGTTGCTCTTTCTCCCGCTTTCTGTCGGGGGGTTGGGGGGCAGAGAGGGGAGAGGGCCGCAGAAGTGACCCCCCTGGGCTTCTAGAGCGTTTTTACCTCCTCTCTCCTCCTTCTTCTCGTTGGCGTCCCGGTGTCTTTTTTGTTTTAATTATTGATAGCGCACCCCCCCACACGCACGCCCCCCCTCTCCCCGAGTAGTTCGCGTTTAATTTCTACATCGTCCCTTGGTCCCCAGGAGCCTCCCGCGGCGTCTCAGGCGACGGTGGCGGTGCGTGGGCGTCCCCGCGGCCCCGGCCCGGCCCCCCGGTGCCCCCGATGCCGGGGCCGCCCCTCCCGCCCGCCCCTAGTAGGTGGCGGAAAATTTCATCCGTTTCTGCTTCTGTCTCTGGTTGCAAAACCAAACCCGCACCACGTTCTTTTTGAGGTCCAATTTCTCGGCGATGGCGGCGATCTTCTCGGAGGAGGGCCGGGGCTGGACGGCGAAGTACGCCTCCAGCGAGCGCTTCTCCGGGGCGGCGATGGAAGTCCGCTTGCGCTTCTTCTCGCCCCCATTGAAGAGCTCGGGCTTGTTCATTTTTTCCCGCTGGGCGCCCTCGGCCTCCTCCAGCCAGGCCTGCAGGATGGGCTTGAGGGCGATCATGTTGTTGTGGGACAGGGTGAGGGACTCGAAGCGGCAGATGGTGCTCTGGCTGAGGGAGCCCACCCCCGGGATCTTCAGGTTGGCCAGCGCCGAGCCCACGTCGGCCTGGGTCACCCCCAGCTTGATGCGGCGCTGCTTGAAGCGCTCGGCGAAGGCCTCCAGCTCTCGCGGGTCCGTGTCCGAGTCGCAGATGGAGGCCAGCCCGGCCGCCCCCACCACCGCCGCCGCCGAGGCCACCTGCCCCGCGGCGCCGTGGTGCGCGGCCACCAGCCCCGGGTGCGGCAGCCCCGACGGCATGTTCATGGCGGCCGGGTGCGAGAGGTGGCCCAGGCCGTGCATGTGCGAGTGCGGGTGGGCCGAAGTGGAGATGAGGCCGCCGCCGCCCCCGCCGCCGCCTCCGCCGCCGCCTCCGCCGGGCATGAGCGCAAGGGAGGGGGAGGTGATGTGGTCCAGGAGGTCGCCGGGCTCCAGCGCCTGGTGATGGTGGTGGTGGTGGTGGTGGTGGTGCGCCAGGGGCACGGTGGAGGTGGAGGTGCAGGGCACACTGTTCATGGTGTGGTACGTGGCGTCGGGCTTGAACGGGTGGCTCTTGCCCTGCGAGACGGCGATGTCGACGGCGGCCAGAGCCTCGGCCCGCGCCAGCAGGGTCTCATCGAGGCTGGCGAAGATATTGCTCTGCAGCTGCAGGAGACACAAAACAGAGCGGGGTGCGGGGAGAGGAGGGCAAGGGGGCAGAGAGGGGGCAAAGTGCGCGGGGGGAAGGGGACGGGCGGGGGACAGCGTGGGGTTGCGGGAGCGCCGTGGAAAAGGAGGGGGGAAGTCGAGGGAGGGGAGAGAGAGGTGGGCAAAGTTAGGGTGACGGCCGGGGAGCCGGCAGTAGGATCAGCGTGTAAGGGAGTGCGGGATCGGGGGGAAGAGCCAAGAGATTGGGGGGAAGCGTGGTACAGCAGGCGACAGCCCGGGGAAATGAGGGGAACCAGGGGGATGGGGTAGAATAATGGGGGGATGGGAGGGGGAAGAAGCGAGAAGAGGGAGCAAAACAGGAAAAGAGGCAAAGAGTAGAAAGGTAAGGAAGCAAGAGGGAATCGGATAAGGAGAGAAGGAAGGAATGAAGGGAACAAATAAATTAATAAATTAAAAGGGGGGGAATTGGAACGAAAGGAGAAGAGAAAGGAGGAGAAGAAATGGATCTGTAACTCTCAGCTGGGGAATTGTGTCAAACACAAGAGCACATAAAACGCATTCCTTTTCAGAGGCCGAGTCATAAAAATTAATACAGAAAGTGGATGAAGTCGGAGACTCGTGTGAACACCGCTTTCAAAAAAGATCACAGGCGCTCAGATGATTGCAGAGGAAGACATGAAAAAAACATTAAGCGCCGCTTGTCAAAATGTGCCTCGCAGCGGTTTTTTTATTAATGCACATACACATACATGCAGTATACAGAAAGAGAGAGAGAGAGAGAAAGAAAGAAAGAAAAGTGTGCGCTTGTAAGGGAGAGAAAGAAAGAAGAGAGCTGCAGCTGTCTGTCCCTTACCGGTGGAGTTGGTAGACATGCTCTTCTTATTGCTTCCGAGCTGGAGTGTAGAGAGGGGTATTTGTGCTCAGGTAGGGTGGGATGCATGGCAAAATGAGGCTGTTTGCTGTTCATGGACATCATCTTGAAGGCTTGGCATGTAAATCCACAAACACTCCTAAAGTCGGGGGAAAAGTGCTCTCCGGGCTCTCTCCTCCCGCCGGGGGAAGCCGCTGACAGCGGCGGGTGGCGGAGCCGGTGGTGGCGGCGGTGCCGCAGCGGACCCTGCCCCCGCCGCCGCCGCTGCCGCGGTGGCCGAGGCTGGGCTGGGTAGGCGAGCGGGCGGCAAGGCTCCCTCCGGCCCCCGCCGTCGCCCTCGCTCCCTCCCTCCCTCCCTCTCTCAGTTCTCTGCCTGCCGCTGCCCGGCGCCGGGCGCGCTGCGCTGCGCTCTGCCCGCACCTGAGCCCCGCATCCCGTGGCTACCGCCGGGCGGGCTCTCGCGAGAGCGCGGCGGCTCCGGCTTTGACAGACATCAGCTGTCTCCCCCCCTTCCTCCTCCTCCTCCTCCTTTTCCTCCTCCTCCTTTTCCTCCTCCTCCTCCTCCTGTTCCTCCCGCCGCCCCCGGTCCTTGCCTCCCCGCGCCTTGTTGCATCTCCCGCAGCCCTCGCCCGTCTCACCGGGGCGGCGGCGGCGGGGCCGCTCTTATAGCGAGCGGCGCCGAGCACCGGGCGGCTGCGGCACCTGTGGCTGCCACACGTGCGCGCTGCGCGGCCGCCAGCGCGGCCCGGGGCGCCCGGCGGGGCGGGGATGGGCGGGGTGCGGGGCTGGGCGCCCCTGCCCTGCCGTCGGAGCGGCGCAGGGAGCCGGCCCGGCCCTCGGCTCTGGAGCACAAAGGTGCGCTGGCCGAAGAAAGGGGCGCCCTCCGGCCGCTCCTGCCGCCGATTGTACACCGGCTCCTGGAGAAGACGGGCGGCGGCAGACATTTGTTTGAACCACTATTGCCTCACCACAATAGCCTCACCAGAGGCTATTGTTTTCCCTGTAATTTAATTTTCCCCCACCCCGTGTAGTTTTATTGCGCCTATTGCTGTGCCAGGCGCCGCGGGTGACAGCCGCTGCGCCCACGCGGGGCGTGCGTGTGCGCGGGCAGCGCCGCGGAGGTGAGACTGCATCTCCTCCTGCCGCCCAGCCCCAACTCCTGCTCCCTGGAAAACCCAAGTGGCACTGGCGTGGCCTGAAACAGGAAACAGTCACCAACTTTCTTTCTTTTCTTTCTTTTCTTTCTTTTCTTTCTTTTCTTTCTTTTCTTTCTTTTCTTTCTTTTCTTTCTTTTCTTTCATTTCTTTCTTTTCTTTCTTTTCTCTCTCTCTTTCTCTCTCTCTTTCTCTCTCTCTTTCTCTCTCTCTCTGTCTTTCTCTCTTTCTCGCTCCCTTCTCTGTTTCTTACTCTTCTTTCCCTCCCTTTTCTGTGGTTTATCCTTAGAATACTCTTGCCTTTGAATCAAACAGTAGAGGAGTCACCCTGTTAGTATTATGAGTGATTCGGGATTTCTGTCCCGTTTTAGAGGAGATTCTATTTTTTTCTCGTAGTTGCTTATGAAGTCGGAGGCAAAACTACGGAAGGAGCCAATCTGCTGCTGCGCCTGTGAGATTAGTATGAATCCCTAGCGAGCGGCCCAAGGTGAAGCCTGTCTGTCCCTTGGGGCACGCCGGAGCCGTCCCTCGGTGACCGATCAGATGCTGCCTTGCTTGTTTCAGCAGGGCTGCAGGCAAGCAGGCAGCGGGGTGTTTGGATCTGGGATGTGACAGCCGGGGAGTGCATCGGAATTGTTTCGTTTCTCCTGAGCGCCTTTTATTTATGCGCATAAACATAGCAGAAAGGTCACGCTGGAAAACACACAGGCGCACACAACAGCGCACACCACAACCCCAAGTGAAGACACATTTGTCTTCATAAGCCTTTCCCTAGCTCCCTAGCCAGTCCAGGAGGAAGGAGGGAACGTCTGCCAATTACTTGTGCGAGAGGGAGCCAGGTCTCCATCCATTACCGTGTCTCCTGGGTTAGCGAAATGCAACTTCATCTCTGGAGGGGATGAACTTGAAACTGGGATTGGGCTCTCCTTATTTATCGATATCATTGTATCAGAATCCACAAATCATACAAATCATACTTTATGTGTATTTATTGACATTTTTTTAAAGTTATTCTAGCCACTTCTCAGCTACCATCCACTGTAAAGGAAAACCCTCCTGGGAAAGGGTTTGGGAGCAAGGAAGTGGGAAACATCTCGGTTTTTCGCCAAAGTTGCTGAAAAGTGCCCAGCTCCAGGAGCAAGGCCCGAGCCGAGCCGGCTGCCACTCCCGACCATGGCGAGATCCAGCCCAGAGCCGCGGTGCTCCTGGGCTGAGCCCGGCGGGGCAGGGAGGCAGATTCCCGGGATCACGTCCTCGTCCCGTGGAGGAACGCAAGGGATGCTGTTCCTTGGGATGCATGGGTGCTTATCAGTGTGCCTCTGCGCGAACCCCACTCTCCGGGATGCTGTCAGATCAAGTTCACCAGGTTTCCCGAAGGAAAACGCTCAGAGAGGGGAAAATTATGCAAGCGGTGGCAAAGGCGGCCGAGGGGAGGGTGTCTAGGCTAAGCGGTGACCTGCCTTACATACCACCGGGCACTTGCTTTGCCTCTGCGGCCGGGTCTTTAACTTCTGGGCTGGCAGGGGCAGGGTCGGGCAGCGAGGGCAGCCAGGGCAGGCAGCCGCCAGAGGAATGGGAACACACGTCTATGGGCTGGGCGAGACCTTCTTGGCTGGAGGAGCATCAACCCCCACCAGTACTTTTAAAACGACCCTTTCTCTTCACTGGCTTATTTTTAAGGCCATGAAGGCAGAGAATCCAGCCTTTCTCTCACCTCCACCCGCAGCGCTAGCCGGAGGCTGAGGAGGCGAGGACCTTTAGGAGTTCGAAGGGTCCCACCTCCGAGATGTCTTCTGAACCCTGGGATGGCGGTGGGCACATCTGGGCATGCACAGCTTGCGATACACATCCTACTGGATTCTCCTCGGGGGAAGCAGTCCCGCCCGGCTGGAGACACACCCCCTGTCAGGGCTCCTCGCTCCTCACTGAAGCCGCCCGGGGGCGGCCGCCCGAGGCACCGGGGTGACGGCGTGCGGGGAGCGAAGGCTCCCGACCCCGGGGAGGAGGCGGGCTGCTGCCGGCCCCCCGCTCCCCGCTGCCTCCCCGAGGCAGACGAGGCGCCTCCTTAGGGCGTTGCAGCCAAGTCTTCCCTCTGTCCTATCTTTCAGGAGAGGGGAGAAGAAGGACAAGACGGGTTTTTGTGGAGCACCATTTAGTCTGTCACTTATCAAGTCCCTGAGGAAAAACTTTTCTTCTCGGTCCTTGGGAGTTTGTTTTTTTTTTTCCTCAAGAGCTAAAGCGCTAACTTTAGGCTAACTTTCAAAGCAACGCTAAAAATTGCAGCCTGACCGTAACTCCCGCTACTGAGGTGCTGCAGCCGCCGCTGTCCTGCTGCTTGCTTGGCCGCAGCGAGTGCAGGGGCTGCTGCCCGAGGGGGCTCCCCGGGGCCCGCCGGGACCCGCACCCCGTGTCACCAGCCCCCGGTGACCCCCCTCTCCCCGCCACACACTGCCAGCTCCCCGGACAGACGGCTTGAGCCAGGCTCAGAATCGCGCGGGCCTGGTAATAGATTTTATTTTAATGTTCGCTGTTGTTTCTATTCCTCGTGGGTACGCCCAGCCTCATGAATACTGATGGCAATAAACTCGCAGGCTTTGAGGAGCGAGTTCATTGGCGACACGACCATGCTGTAGCCCGACGTTTATGGCCCGAGATGCTCAATAAAGCAAGGGAGGAACATATATATACACATTTACTTGTCTCCCGTAGTTTTCTCCGGCTTCAAATGCAAGAAATAGGCAGAATTCCTTAATTGACTGAACTGCCTATCTCGAGAAAGCAATAAAGTAACCCCTTATTCCCACAGTGAAACGATTTATAAATTAATTACTGTAACCCATTGTATTTGATTTCTCTTTTTAGGATTCCCCAAAGATGAATATACTAAAGCTTATGATATTAACTATTAACGTCTGATCATAGTTTGCTATATATCCCGACTTAAAAAAAATAGCTAATGTGGGTCTCACCGCTCACTCTAAACCCTCTGGATATCTTCATTTCAGCAAATGTTAGCTTTACACTTTGCAGTCGCGGTATTTGTCCTACCCTGAGTGTCACTGGGAGCACTGAGACAAAACCTACAGTACATGTGTTATTTGGTGAAGTTCACAGAAAGTCAATATCCCATTTAAAATAAAAGCTATTTTCCTTTTAAATGATCAAAATTAACCTTCAGAAGAAAAAAAAAAACAAACCAAAACGCACAACAAAAAACAACCAACGCTTTGGGTGAATGCACAAAAAGTATTTCCTTGTCCTAATGAGGACTTTCCTTACATCAGCAAAGACCTGCTAATTACTGGTGTACAAGCCGCAATAATTGCTTTTGCAGCCAAAGTGTAGAATGTTGTCATATTAAAAATTGAAACGCTTGATGGTGATTTAAGTCCCAAGGTAGTTCGCAACGTCCCCTTTCGGGAAAGGAAGGAGACCGGAGCAGCTAGGGAGAGGTCCGGTGGAAAACACTACAGTAAGTAAAGTTTCTCGCTCTTTCTTTCAAGCTGTGCGGAAGAATAAAAAAGCACACCGAGAAGCCCTTCCAGCGAAATACCCCAGACCCTGCTCCCTTGCAGCCCCGCTCCGTGGGCAAACCGGCTGCTGGATTTCACTCTCGTCCAGGATCGCTGGCTCCGCACGGACGCCCCGTTTCGGTGGGGCAGCGGGAAAACGCAGCTTTGCGAGCCCCGGGAGAGGCACGAGGAGCGCTCCGAGGGGCAGGGGCCGGTCGCCAGGCGCGTCTCACCGCGCCCCGGGGTCCGCTCGGCTGCCCAAACCGGGAGCGGAGCGCTCGGCTCCCCCCGCCCCCCGCGCGAATCAAAGCACCTTCCGAGGGGCTGGGAAGTAGTTGCCTTGTCATGTAACACATTGCCCTGATTTATTATAAAATTTTAACGAAATCATGCATATTTTAACAGCCTTTAATCACTGCATGAAAATTTAATTCATGAACTGTAGCGCGTTTAAATAAATGAAGTGTTAATTCATTAGGATTAATTAATTTGTTAAAGGATTGTGTGCAAGGTTAAGGTGGAAGAAAAACTCTTTGTTGGTTTCAAGTCTTAATCACTGCGTTTTGTTAACAGTGAAGGTGGGAAAAAAACCCCGCAATGAGGGTTTGTGTGGGGCGGGGGAGCCCGGCGAGGACAGCA